GTTATTAACCGTATGTAACACTTCCAGGAGTGTACGTTATCAAGCTAATGGCATGTTTTTTCGATGTTATCAACCGTATTCAACACTTCCAGGAGTGTACGTTATCAAACTAATGGCGTATTTTTACGATGTTATTAACCTTATTTAACACTTCCAGGGGTGTACATTATGAAGCTAATCGCGTGTTTTTACGATGTTATTAACCGTATGTAACACTTCCAGGAGTGTACATTATGAAGCTAATGGCGTGTTTTTACGATGTTATTAACCTTATTTAACACTTCCAGGGGTGTACATTATCAAGCTAATGGCGTGTTTTAACGACTTTATCAACCGTATGTAACACTTCCATGGGTGTACGTTATCAAGCTAATGGCGTGTTTTTACGATGTTATCAACCGTATTAAACACTTCTAGGGATGTACATTATCAAACTAATGGCGTGTTTTTACGACGCTATCAACCGTATGTAACACTTCCAGGGGTGTACATTATCAAATTAATGGCGTGTTTTTACGACGTTATCAACCGTATGTAACACTTCCAGGAGTGTACGTTATCAAGCTAATGGCGTGTTTTTACCATGTTATCAACCGTATTTAACACTTCCAGGGGTGTACGTTATCAAGCTAATGGAGTGTTTTAACGACGTGATCAACCGTATTTAACACTTCCAGGAGTGTACGTTATCATGCTAATGGCGTTCCAGGGGTGTACGTTATCAAACTAATGGCGTGTTTTAACGACGTTATCAACCGTATTTAACACTTCCAGGGGTGTACGTTATCAAGCTAATGGCGTGTTTTAACGACGTGATCAACCGTATTTAACACTTCCAGGAGTGTACGTTATCATGCTAATGGCGTGTTTTTACGATGTTTTTAACCTTATTTAACACTTCCATGGGTGTACGTTATCAAGCTAATGGCCTGTTTTAGCGACGTTATCAACCGTATTTAACACTTCCAGGAGGGTACGTTATCATGCTAATGGCGTTCCAGGGGTGTACGTTATCAAACTAATGGCGTATTTTTACGAAGTTATTAACCTTATTTAACACTTCCAGGGGTGTACGTTATCAAGCTAATGGCGTGTTTTTAACGACGTCATTAACCTTATAACTTACCTTAGCGTACTGAAGTTGTCATCTTGGTTTTAAAATAGCTCTTTATCAGGTCCATGCCATGTACTACAATGTATAAGTTTGATTTTTCATTTTGTACCCGAGTCAGACTCTGATAATGACAAACTATCTAATTTGACGCCATCTTTAATGTAGCTCGTGATATCGGATGAAGTGCATTTTGATATTATGTTGATGGCGACAGGCAGGGCCCACAACACTGGCTCCTATTTTACATTTGAAATCCAGGTCATGGTTTGACACAGCATCTAATGAAACCTCAACCCAAAGGTTAAACACGTTGGACATAGAACAGGCTCTACCTCGATATCTATAAAAAGTCGATTGAAGTTTTATCTGCCAAAATCTATTTTACAGTGATCTGTTAGAATTTTCTTGTCATCTATAGACCATGCACGTGTTTTTTGTTTGTTTTTGGTATCAGTAGCCAATATACGTATTTAAATTGCTAAGTTGAACATAAAAGTACTACATGAAAACGTTATATAACCCCTCCTCCCCTCCCTCATTCCTCTATGTGGATGTTCTTCATGTTGATGGTACAGTATCATGTTACGCACATTATCATTATTGTCGTTGGTGATAAAACAACTCTACATTACAGTGTAGCCTACTCGTAGTATTCCGAGGTTAACGGTAAAGAACCAACAAAATCTGTTTTAAACTGGACTTTTTAATGTTTTAAACAAATATATTAACATTTCAATAAAATACATTCAGACTTTTAACTCTAAATATAATATCAGCCACGCATAAATGTTAACAAATATTATCTCCGGTAAAAAAAAAAGTAAATATTATTCTGGTAACCATTTCCCGAATACCTCACATCAAATATTTCAAATCCTTTGAACATAGTGATGACGTAGTGACAAAATATTTATTAGTCTATCCGATAATTGATAACAAAATTACATCAAAAAAGACATTCCCTGAGAGAGAAAAAAATCCCTGAGAAAAACACATTCCCTGAGCGCTGTTCGCTGAATGATTGTTGGACTCCGTGCTTCTGACACCGAGGTTGGCCGTAACCTTGTTGCTGGAATTTAATCTAACTTGGTCTTCTTGGAATAGTAGTTTCAGAATAAATAAAATTTTGTACTCAAAAGTTCTAATATGACGTTACAAAGAGTTTTATATACACTTTTCCCCTATCGCTGTATCTTTGCATCTCCAATGCGGAACACTTTAGACATTCATTTTCATTTTTCCCTCAAGATGAATTATTTTGAAGATTGAAGTTGTTACAGGCATATGCCAACTGTCTGTCCGTGTCTTCAACATTGGCAAAAAGTGGCAATGCAAGACCCAGAGATTTAAATGAATACAAGATTCTGATTGACTCGATTTATCAAGACGGAACATTGTATCCCCTAAATAAACGTAAACGCAGTCAAATGCAGTTCCTGGTTTTGAGAATCACATAAAATGTGAATCCATAATAGTTCGCTAAACTTACACTGACCATTTATGAAACTGCATTGACTGTCTCCAACAAATTCGTGCAGTATTTCGTGACACAAATAATTATTTGGTACAATCACACACGACAAGGTTTAAAGCAATTCAATACTAATCCGAACGCAGCTGGCCATAGTCATGTAATGGATCTACAATTTAAAATGCAATAAAATAGGAAAACATCGTTTTTAAAATGGGTCATATTATAAGGAACAATACACAAACGATATCGACCGAGTATGAGGTGTTCCGATCAATGAAAAAAAAATTAATACAGATACGAAGTATTTTTTTCTCTACCATATGGCCGTTTTGTCTATTTAGGAATCTTCAAATGTACTAAAGCAGGTCAAAAGAGTCCTGACCATATGTAAAAACACAGCAAATTGGGACGGTGCCTACAAGTTCACAACTTTTGGCTCCATCAAAAAATTGATGCAAAAAGTGGGCAGGGAGATAATGTGTTCTCTGGCATATCGTTTATGTGCAGCACGACGAAGATGGGTCCCAGCACACTTCTTTGAGGAACTCCCCTGAGGACGTCATGAGACTTCGATGATGAACCATTTACCAACCCATTTTGATGAAGGTTACTCGGGAAGTCTTCTATCCATTTGATTGTTTTATGGCCGATTACATTCGTAGACAGAAGCGTTCGTTGGAACAGTCATACTCCACCATCTTGGCTCTAGGATTTGTTTCCACCTTATTGCACATGTCACATGTCCAGGAACCTATTAGGGATGGGTTTGGCGACTTTACTAGGCCTGCTTGCATTACGTTCTTGATCGGTACGCTACAAGCTGGTACAATGGTGTGTGTTGCTATATATATATATATATTCATACACTACGCATCTGCTAATGTATCATATACGGGTACGTGTTGGTGTGGTTTGCCTATCGTACACAACTATCAATGTCGGAAATCTGTTACTGCCATTTGCCTATTCCTTCTTTTGGTAGTTTTTATTTAGGAGGAAACTATGAACATGGACTTACATTCTTGTGATGTTTTATTTTGCAGTATGCGATAAGATAAACATGGAAGAAAATATTATGGACTTACTGGTATATGCAATTAAGTTGTGTTGTACTATATATATAGTTGGATTGTACTTCAAGGAATAAAATATTATCATATAATAATACAATATAACTATTATGATAACAGGATCTTCTTGGTGAGTTTTATATTTGTCCTTGTTTGATCTTCTGGATGGTTTCAAGACCCATTGTACACAACAACCTGAAAAAATAGAAATATATCAAATTTCTTTATTACGGCTGTCCATGCTATTCCATTAATTGATAAAATCACATTTTTTTGTTCCTGCGAGGTAACTTCAGTGTCTCACCATTTTGTGACGTTGGGCATGTACTGGTTTGCATAAGTAAACAACAGCACGGGGTTGTTTGTAATCCACACCTCCCACATCTTGTTGGCAATGGCGACCCCCATCAGGTAAGCACAACGGTCGGTCTTCATACGATTTTCATTTGTGTTCATCTGGCTTTTTAACTCCTAATATATATTTACATATATAAAACGTTTAAGTGTATATGATGAAAAACACGTTATATTCTCTTGCATATTAATATTAATTTTTATACGCGACTAATTTTACTTAACAAGCAACGTGCTACGGAAAATTTAATTAGTCTGGTCATGCTCTTAATTGAATATTGCCATGCATAATGAATTTACATCTTTGGAACAATGTTTAATGAAAGAATTATTATTTTAACCTATCAGTAAGATAAGGAGGCTTTGAAATATCAAATCTGTATAAAGGGTCGTACCTCTCCTTCATTCTCTGTGAAAGCCACCGCCAGGATGTTGGAGAAGACAGGTCCAGGACAGATGTTGGTTACACTGACATTCTTGTCAATCATCTCTACTCTCAGTGAATCAAACCAACCCTACAATACATCACAATAGGAGTCACGCTCTTCAAAAATCACCATATTACATGTATGTCTAGAAAGATATTTTAAAACGGTATGCTTCACCCTTATTTGTGCACGCTCGGAAAATGACATCATTTTTACAATCTTTACAAAATAGCTCGCTTCCTGGATAATATGTATCCAAATATGCTTTGCTCGTATAGCAAGTTTTGTACGTTGTCCTGCTTACCTGAAATACATGATTTATCAGTGTATTTAATAAGATCCTATGCTTACCTGTATAGCATGTTTTGCACCTGCGTAAGATCCTGAAAGTGGCGCACCTGTATAACAGACCAAAGTCATTTAACAACAAATCTAAAAACAATTTCAAGCTTATTTCTAGATTGAAGAATTTTACCAATTACCTACTAACACAGGACAAATAATCTAGTGCACATATACTTAACGCGAAATGTTTCCGACGGAGTAATACTGTAAGCCTGAACTCTTGTCACTAACCAACTTATTAACGCAACAAGAACCCAGTTGACCGAAATTGCTAAAAAGACTGCCTTCTGGTTAGCGAACTTGAATGCATACCAATTTTCCCTAAAATGCTGGAAACATTGACAATGTGCCCTGACTTCCTGTCAGCCATGTGGGGGAGAACGAGCTTGGTGAGGGACAGCACCCCCAGGACATCGAGCTCCAACACATCCCTGTCAACCTTGAGCGATGTCCTCATCCATACGGCCTGCTGAGCCCGACCTGCATTGTTCACCAGCACATCTATCTGTCAATGGAGTATATCCCTATCTAATTATTAGTTTACACTTATTTGAAGAAGACAACGTTACACATTTCACTAATAAAGATAACACAATAAACAGATTACACTACATGTGTTCATGTCACACATTTAAATTGTCATATACAACACATGTCAAACACTTCATAGATCAAATACGTCTCAGAGGTTACACTCTACACGGGTCATATACTACACAGGTCATACACTGACAGGTCATACACTGACAAGTCATACACGCACATGTCACACGCTACTCATGTCACACTACACATGTCACACTACACATGCCATTTATTACACAGGTCATAGACAACACATGTCGCACACTTCATAGATCAAATACGTCTCAGAGATCAAACTCTACACAGGTCATATACTGCACAGGTAATACACTACGTAGGTCATACACTACACAGGTCACACACTACTCATGTCACACTACATCGGTCATTTACTACACAGGTCACACTACACAGGTCATATACTACACGTGTATACATGTCGCACACTACGCAAGTCATACACTACACAGGTCAAACTCTACACCAGTCACACTACACAGGTCACACATTACAAAGGTCATACACTACACAGATCACACTGCACAGGTCATACTCTACACAGGTCACACTACACAGAGAATACACTGCACAGGTCATACACTGGACAGGTCATTTACTATACAGGTCATACACTGCACAGGACATACACTGGACAGGTCATTTACTATACAGGTCATACACTGCACAGGACATACACTGGACAGGTCATTTACTATACAGGGCATACACTGCAAAGGTCATTTACTACACAGGTCAAACTCTACACAGGTTATTTACTACACAGGTCATACACTACACAGGTCACACACTACACAGGTCACACACTACACAGGTCACACAGGTCATTTACTACACAGGTCAAACTCTACACAGGTTATTTACTATATAGGTCATTCACTACACAGGTCATACTCAGCTTAGGTCACACACTACACAGGTCAAACACTACACATGTCGAACTCTACACAGGTTATTTACTACACAGGTCATAAACTACACAGGTCATACCCAGCACAGGTCATTCACTACACAGGTCACACACTACACAGGTCAGGCACTACACAGGCCACACACTACACATGTCTAACATTACACAGGTCACACACAACACAAGTCACACTACCCAGGTCACACACTACACACGTCCAAACTACAGAGGTCATACACTACACAGGTCATACACTACACAGGTCAAACACTACACAGGTCATACTCTACACAGGTCACACTACACAGGTCATACACTGCACAGGTCATACACTGGACAGGTCATTTACTACACAGGCCATACACTGCACAGGTCACACACTACACAAGTCACACACTACACAGGTCACACACTACACAAGTCACACACTACACAGGTCACACACTACACAAGTCCAAGCTACACAGGTCACACTACACAGGTCATACACTGCACAGTTCATACACAGCACAGGTCATTCACTAAACAGGTCACACACTACACAGGTCAAACTCTACACAGGTTATTCACTACACTGGTCATACACAGCACAGGTCACACACTACACAGGTCACATACTATACAGGTCACACACTACACATGTCAAACTCTACACAGGTTATTCACTACACTGGTCATACACAGCACAGGTCACACACTACACACGTCCAAACTACAGAGGTCATACACTACACATGTAATACACTACACAGGTCACACACTACACAGGTCATACTCTACACAGGTCACACACTACACAGGTCATACACTGCACAGGTCATACACTGGACAGGTCATTTACTACACAGGTCAAACTCTACACAAGTCACACTACACAGGTCACACATTACACAGGTCATACCACTACACAGGTCACACTACACAGGTCATACTCTACACAGGTCATACACTACACATGTAATACACTACACAGGTCACACACTACACATGTCATTTACTACACAGGTCACACACTACACCGGGCATCTCTTACACAGGTGGCACTTTACACAGATCACACACTACACAGGTCACACACTACACAAGTCACACACTACACAGGTCACACACTACACAAGTCCAAGCTACACAGGTCTCACTACACAGGTCATACACTGCACAGGTCATTTACTACACAGGTCAAACTCTACACAGGTTATTTACTACACATGTCATTTACTACACGGGTCATACACTGCACAGGTCAAACTCTACACAGGTCAAACTCTACACAGGTTATTTACTACACAGGTCATTCACTACACTGGTCATACACAGCACAGGTCACACACTACACAGGTCACACACTATACAGGTCACACACTACACATGTCAAACTCTACACAGGTTATTTACTACACAGGACATACACTACACAGGTCATACACAGCACAGGTCATTCGCTACACAGGTCACACACTACACAGGTCACACACTACACTGGTCATACACTACACAGGTCACACACTACACATGTCATTTACTACACAGGTCACACACTACACCGGGCATCTATTACACAGGTGGCACTTTACACAGATCACATACTACACAGGTCAAACACTCCAAAGATCAAATACTACTATCATACAATTTACAGGACACAAGCTTCATATGTCACACAGGTTAAACACTACACAAGTCGAATGATTCACAGGTCACACTGTAGGATATTAATGAGACTTACATGCTTGAAGTGTGTAAGGACTTTGTCCACAGCACTTTTGTGACTGTCAAAGTCAATAGAATCCAGTGTCAGTATTAAAATGTTATCATACTTGACTCTTCCCCTTACTGAAACAAGTACAAGGAAATGACACAGGAAATGTTCATAATAAAGCACGAACTTTAATATTAGATACCAGGAAATATACACATAAAATGTACTTATATAAAAATTCAGTTTATAAAAATATATGAATAGTCTAGTTCTGTTTTTCTATAAAGACGATTACTTATAATTTGATTTGATTTTAGGGATGTTACCATCAAGAAAAGGAAACTTTACCATAAAAAATGAATTAAGCAAGTATAGGTTTGCAAGCTATTCATAATTAACCTGAAAGTGCATTTATATGTTAACCGGTATACATGCTACAAGAATCCGTTGTACCCCGACTTATGTCTTTAAATCCCGATGGATATGTCCCCGTATGACTTAGATATAATGATATGTTTAATGTTTGCTTGAATTAGTATTACAATAATCAATAAACGTACACATGCACTCCTTTTTGACTCTTTCCAGCTCCTTTGTCCGTCGTGCCGATAGAACCAGTCGACATCCAGCCCTAGCTAACTCATAGGCTAACTCCTCCCCAATACCGCTCGAAGCTCCAGTAATCCACACGACTTGTCCAGACAGTGACTCTGGGGGTAAATACTAACACGAATTTCTCATATTTTAATTATAATGTAGTCCTTAGTAATGAATTGTTACTAGTATCTTTTTGTAATTTTAATTAGGGTTGTCCACGGTTAGCCGGTTAACCGGTTACTCGGTCGGAACACTGCGAACCGGTTACCAAAATCAATAACCGAATAGTCGGACATTTACTTAACCCTTTGGGACCTCCATGTTTCCCTGGCTTAGACCTACAAATTATTTATAGATGCGACCGCAATAGGATATTTTTGTAATAAAAACAGTGTTCTAGAGTGACATGTTAGTGTTGTTTTTGTACTCTATTGTAAATATTTACAAGGAGGTGACGCCAATACCATAAAAACTCTTAACAGATTTTAAAAGGAAGTCTGAATACAAAGCTGTGAAATACGAACTTTTAGTGATAGACAGCACTTTTACATACGGGATGTAAATATAATCTGAAGAGTACAAACTTGGGTGAGCAAGCATGTCTTAAAACGTTTGTCACGCAAATTTTGTTCTAAAGAATAATATTACCGCATATCATTGTGAGTATAGATAACTGTAATTGAATCCCGTCTTACTGCATTCCGACATTTGTTGTCCATGACATATATTACTGAGGTTACATGCAACTATTTCCTACGTTTAGATTGAAATACACGAGTAAACTATTATGCGTATTGATGTATGTTTGTGGTGTAAATACGTTATAGATAGAACATTTTCTAAACATAGGATGCGTTTGTTGCTGTTATGTATTTGATTACACCGGTTACTCGCTCGGAAGATTGTTCGAGTAGCCGGTTACCAAAATATGACTGGTTTGAAAACCTTCAATATTTAATGTAAATTTGTATTAAGGTAGCGTTGTTAATGTGCATGTCACACAAATATGTATGTTTACATATAACGTAAGACATAAACATAGAGTGAAAAGCGAATCTTTCTCTTCGCAAATAGTGTGGGCACAATAAACTACTATATTATCTACATTTTAAAAACATTGTTACACTTTGTATCGGGGCTTAGCACAGTTAACATTACGTATTACGATAATACTTACTAACGGACTTTCCAAACTTTGATTTGATCTGCAGAAGAATGTCAGCATCTCCACACAATATCATCACCACGGCAAGAAGGTGGAAGAGGACAACCAACCCCACCAGAAGATACAGTAGGTCCATAATCAAGTCCTCCTAACTGAGATTAAAATATTGTACTGAATTTCGGGAGAGTTAGTTTCCCGAAACTGCTAACCGCGCTGACAACATCGATGTGACATCTCCGCGCGGCCTCTATATATACACGCGAGTGATTTTCCTCCACTTTCAAACAAATATTGGGACCAAAGCGCAGTTCCCGACTCCATGTGGAGACGATGTGTTATAACACACCCCACATTTCTCTAAAATATTATATAACAAACTCTGCTCTTCTGGCCGACTTAATATTGTTTTTCATTTGATGTTAAAGGATGAGTGTCTATAAGGCCCTTTTTCGGGCCCCGGTATATTCGGATTTTCACCACCCTATTTTGTTAAAAGATGTCCTATTGTATGACATGCGCAAAAACTAAGGTAAAACTTTGACCGAAAATGGGTTTCTGGGGGTACCAAAAGGGGTAGGGTTAATCACAAATATAGTTTGCTGTTTTCAAAATGAGCATAAAGACCAAAATAATACCATTTCTGTTTTTGAAAACATGTATAAATTAGACAAGCATATGTAACAGAATGAAAAAATGACAGAAATTCAATCGTCACTTAAATGATTATTTATATAAAACGAAGGATTAAGTCAGGGGGTTATTTTTGGTCATTTTCAATTGAAAAGTAATTTGTTTTCTCAATAATTATTTCCTTTCTAATTAATATTTTGACTTGAAATTTACAACTTCACTCATTTAAGTAGACTTACATAAATTGCATATTGACTTCATACTTTCCTTTTGTTTTATACTGAGTTATGGCTTTTGGACACATCTCAAAATTTCAAGTGAACTAAAAGGTGCATGACACCCTTTATATGCTATAAGTATAAGATGTTTATAGTTAATATTGTATATTATATGTATCATATAATATTTTCTCAGCACCTGTGGCTGAAGTGAGTCGCAGGCCCTGTGCTGTTTTCTTACTTAGCAATATTAACTTACTTAACTTACTTAAAAATGACATTTGTCACCATAATTACAGTAAAATGATTGGTTTAATTTATGAAGTTTGATTTGCTGTTTGAAATCACGAAGACAGTATATCTGTTTTTTTCTTTGTACTGTCCATCCATCAGTGTACGCGAGGAACTCTTGGACATGACAATCTGGGACATTTCATCTTTACATTTAAAAGAACATTTTCATACTTGACATCTTTCCCCATTAAGGAGAGGTTCCTCGGTCTGTATTCATGCCCAAGCATCAAAACAAATGTTCTTGTAACTAGTTTTTTTATCAGGTCAAAACATCAAGATGCCCAGTGTAAACACTGAACACAGTATGAGGATCAAAATCTCTCTAAAATATTGAGACTTCTATTCTTCCCTTGTTTACCCTGTATTCTACCCACATATATACTCTGTATTCTACCCATTTATATGATGTGAATTTACCCTGTATTCTACCCACATATATACTCTGTATTCTACCCATTTATATGATGTGAATTTACCCTGTATTCTACCCACATATATACTCTGTATTCTACCCATTTATATGATGTGAATTTACCCTGTATTCTACCCACATATATACTCTGTATTCTACCCATTTACACCATGTGAATTTACCCTGTATTCTATCCACATGTATACTCTGTATTCTACCCATTTATACTATGTGAAGTTAACGTTTTCTACACATATATAAAAAAAATCTACCCCTTTTACTATGTGATTTTTTCTTGTATTCTACCCATTTATACTGTGTATACAACCTGAATAAATTATGCTGTATACTAGCCGATACACTCATTGTACTGACAGTATATGCACTCTGTATACTACCTACATATTCTATATATACTAGAGAGGTACTCTGTATATTACCTATACATATTCTCTTTGCACATTAATTGTGCACAAACTAATATATATGTGCTTTGGATAATATGTAAATGGACTGTCTACTAAATATTTACTCTACATATTACTTCAGTATACTGCTAAAAAGTAGTCCTATACTCCATATTGTTTAACATTGAACAGTATGCAACTATCATTGTGTTGGCTTGGGAGAATAATAGGCCCAGCAAAATTTAGGTCAACATTAGTTCTCTTCTACCCTACCACTTTATTTTCTGAACTAATTTCTTTTTGTAGCCGACCGCATTCCTGTTTACCTTGCAGTGTTACTTATGACCTAATTGTGTTGGCGAGTTGTTTAAACACAAACAAAGACAATCACAACCAAAACACAAACAAAACCAATGTTTGAAGCATTTAATGCTATGTAGGATTTCATTAGTATATCGGACCACATAAATGTACGAGTTAGCATCACAAAAATACTGATTGTAATTGATACCGACATGTGACTAGTATGCTCCTGGGGTACTGTAAGGTATCTCTTTTAATTAGTTATTTAAATCATTTTACACTATTGTCCGTCTTTGTTTAATCATTTTCTTTTCAACAGGGATTTGAAGAAACAGTAAACAGTTCAATAAACAATATGTTCACAGGCCCTAACCATTTTACTTGTTTTTTTAATTATTAGTTTGACCTTGAAATTGGACCAAAATAAAAATAAAAAAATCTCTACTTGGAAAAGTCCTGTGCCATATGACTGTCATATACATTATTAAATACTTAAATACAATATATGTATGGATTCATGTACGAACATTTATAGTGGCATTTTATCTATTTGTTTTCAAACATATTCCATGATGCACAGTCTCACATCTTGAAGATGCAATACTTGTAACATTACTTGCCCCTGAAAATTGACAGAAAGACCAGAATATTTGCTGCTTGGAAAACAAAGCACTCAAGACATTTTTACTGTGGTGTCACAAGAGAAGTGTCGAAACAAGTGCCATTCTCTACAGACAGGATGTAAGGAACAATAATGTGCTTCTGTTTTAGCAATAATGATGTTTATTTTGTTTACCGAGGTATAATAAGAAAAATCTGCATCCACATTCCAAACAAATGTACTATATATATATATGCTAAAGAAAAAGGGAAATACTAAGTAACATGTACAAGAATGAATGGATCAGAAGATTTATATAGCCATGAAGTCTTTCAACCCCTCTGGTTAACATTAACACAGATTTACCCTCTCTGTATCACTGAATCACATATGTTACAAATCCTTCCCTCTATCGATATTTTGTTTTGACCACGTTCCATATCAAGATTACATGCTGACAACTTAAACAGTGCAATTTCATATTTTAGGTATTTGTATTTCGTACGTATGGTTGAAATAACATTTAAATATTTTTACAATTATCCTTTTACATATTGAATTAGTATCATAGCAATCCTGAAAAAAATCAAATAAGTCTTAATGCTGATATTAAAAAATCCAATTGTTACCATTTTGAAATTCGAATTCCTTACAAGAAGAGTTGCAGGCCTTATGATTGAGTCTTTTGATATATTAGGGTGACAATTTAACAAATATCCATGACGGTTTTTTTTTTTTTTTTTAAGAACATGGCGAAAAAAGCAACAGACAATGTGGAATGGTGTATAATAAGGTGTCCTAAATATATTGGTCTCTGTTATACAAGTACTGTTGTCTTGTAACAATACATATATATATATATAAATATGGATAGCTATATTATAATTAAAAAATGTTGATTGTTTTGCTCTTCTTCAAAATCTGTTCTGGAACACATCGCCTGATATTCCATACAAGACAATTAAACCATTCTCAAAGACAATTCAAGAAATGCATTCTATAATTATATAGTATTAAGTGACTGTGGTGCTTAACTAGACAGTGTGACTGTGTTTAAATGATTAACCACGTATCATAGCTAGTATTGGCCGAATATTACCGCAAGTCTGGTTATTTTCACAAATCTATTTTTTTCTAAAAATAGAGAAAGAAAATTTCCACAAATAAAATATTTCGCGGTCTGTCTAATTTTGGTGGATATTGCTCAAAATGTCAACTTTCATATTTGCTAATGACGACACATGTAATACACAATGTAATAATTGACAGCATTGCATGTACAGTTATATCAAAGATGTCATAAACACGTTTAATATTATTACACTAATCATATTTTCGCGATCATACATATGCCTCACGAATAATCTATTTAACGTTTTCCCCGTGAAAATAGCAATCCATACAGTAGTAACCGATACATAATCAGGATATTCTGAGTTCTAGTTTTGTCCTTCTCTGATCTTCTGGATGGTTTTAAGACCCATTCTGCATGACAACCTGAAATATATATATTTGTCAATGAGATAATTGTATGATACGAGTTACTTAAAATGGGTATATGGGGCAAGGAAGTTATTCAAACAGTGTAGATAATATGAGGTTGTCAAATTTTCCATGCAATCCGCTCTTTATCGAGACACAGAAAAAACACATACATAACACAAACACAAAATAGAAATATAATAGGATGTGACTAATATTCTAAACAATAAACCCTTCGGCTAGCCTAAGCCGAAGACAGATTTACACCTTCCGCAGCGTTGACCAATGATACTCTGTGTGTGTGGGAACAATGACAAAAATATTATGATACTGATATCCCTTTGTTTTTTGACGATGCCGTCAGTGTAAATTCTGTCTTAAGCTTACGCTAAGCCAAGGAATTGTTAGTTAAATCCTATTATATTTCTATTTTGTTTTCATGTAACGTAATTGTTCCGTGTGTTTCTGTATCTCGATAAAGGAGCGGATTGTTCCAAACAAATTGACAACCTCATATAGTTTAAACTATTGGAATTACTGTCTTTCAACACACATATATATATTATTCCATGGAATAATAACACCAAAATATTCTTGTTCCGGTAAAAGATCTTCAGTGTCTCACCATTTTGTGACGTTGGGCATGTACTGGTTTGCATAAGTAAACAACAGCACTGGGTTGTTTGTAATCCACACCTCCCACATATTGTTGGCAATGGCGACCCCCATCAGGTAAGCACAACGGTCGGTCTTCATACGCGTTTCTTTTGGGTTCATTTGACTCTTCAACTCCTGATTATCAAAACAAACCGTTTTACTGTTAGATCAAAGGTGAAATTGTAATTTACTTTCATACAAGTGTAACAATGTTATATTTGCTACTGATTAGAGTTCATTAATATGTTCATTTGTGAATAAATATATGACATTCAAGGACAGAGTTTTTAACTAATCTGGTCATTTAAGTACCATTAAAACTTGGGCAAGAAAACATCAACAAGATAATCAGGCTTTGAAATACTAAACATTTGGCATTTGTATACGTATCCGTACATTTGGGCTGGAATTCACGATCACGTTTGGGGGGGTTTATCATCATTGGGGGTGGCATTTTCCCGAAAATTTATCTAAACCCCCAAAACGTGTAAAATGACTTTAAACACCTTAGTTTATGTCCAAATATAGCTGCAACAGATTCTCAGATTCCTGTGCAATAAATAATAAGGTATAAAGGGTCTACCTCTCCAGCATTCTCTGTGAAAGCCACCGCCAGGATGTTGGAGAAGACAGGCCCAGGACAGATGTTGGTTACACTGACATTCTTGTCAAACATTTCTACTCTCAGCGAATCAAACCAACCCTACAATACATCATAATAGGAGTCCAGCTCTTAAAAAAAACACCAAAATACAATCCGGACAATGTGTAGTGAAATGCAATCTTACCTTCATGGTCTTTCTGCAAAAATAATGTTTAGAATTATAAAATGTAAAGCATAATACAATGCTTACGTGCATGACATGTTTTGTACGATAAAATGCTACTCAGTAAGATGGTATGCCTACCTGTATGGCATGTTTACTCAGTAAGGTGATATGCCTACTTGTATGGCATGTTTACTCAGTAAGATGGTATGCCTATCTGTATGGCATGTTTACTCAGTAAGATGGTATGCCTATCTGTATGGCATGTTTACTCAGTAAGATGGTATGCCTATCTGTATGGCATGTTTACTCAGTAAGATGGTATGCCTACCTGTATAGCATGTTTACTCAGTAAGATGATATGCCTACCTGTATGGCATGTTAACTCAGCAAGATGATATGCCTACCTGTATGGCATGTTTACTCAGTAAGATGGTATGCCTACCTGTATGGTATGTTTACTCATTAAGATGGTATGCCTACCTGTATGGTATGTTTACTCAGCAAGATGCTATGCCTACCTGTATGGCATGTTTACTCAGTAAGATGCTATGCCTACCTGTATGGCATGTTTACTCAGTAAGGTGCTATGCCTACTTGTATGGCATGTTTACTCAGTAAGATGGTATGCCTACCTGTATGGCATGTTTACTCAGTAAGATGGTATGCCTACTTGTATGGCATGTTTACTCAGTAAGATGCTATGCCTACCTGTATGGCATGTTTTGCTCCTGTGTAAGATCCTGAGAGGGGCGCACCTATAAAAAAAGACGATGTTTACTCTGTGTGGCAAAAACGTTTTACAATTTAAAGATCCCGAATAATCTCTATAAATTGAGAATAATCTCTATAAATTGAGAATAATCTCTATAAATTGAGAATAATCTCTATAAATTGAGAATAATCTCTATAAATTGAATTGATTAGTTCTATGCTGCCACCAGAATAATGTAGAGAAGAAAGCAAGGCTCACAACATTCTCATCCCATCATCTTGACCTAAAGAGTGATAAAAAACAATTGTATGTCAAATTCTAATTAAGTAATGGAAACAAGAATTTTGGACTGAAAACGATTATACTCAAACTTATTTAAGATATATTCAAGCAGAAGCTGTTTGAAGATTCGTCAGAATCTGCCAAGAAATATGGCCTCTTGAGTGTGATGGTAAAATTCTCTTTTAGTATCCGTATTTAAACTGGTCAAGTTTATTTTCAAGGCTAACATATCTGTCTCTCAAAAATGAGGCGGCTAGGGTGATGAAAAGAATTTTAACGATCAGTTGGATAGATGGATAGACAGGACAAATCATTATGCCTACCGTTTCACGTATCGGGAGTATAATAATTAACTGTACTTACGTATACCTGCCACAGAAAGAATACACCCTGAATTCCTTATCACAAACCACTGCCTGGTGCAGTAATATTATGTAGGTTGAATAGTATCAAATCACCCAGTTTGCCAGTTTGCAGATATTGTTAAAATTACCATCTATTTCTAATCAAATGGAATGCATACCTAGTTTTCCTGCAATGCTGGAAACATTGACAATGTGGCCTGACCTCCTGTCAGCCATGTGGGGGAGGACGAGCTTGGTGAGGGACAGCACCCCCAGGACATTGAGCTCCAACACATCCCTGTCAACCTGGAGACCTGTCTTCACCCATTCTGCTCGCTGGGACCGACCAGCATTGTTAACCAGTACATCTATCTTTATATCAGTTGAGTAAAGGATATAATATTAAAAGTTTACACTACATACATTTTGTATCATAGTTTTTGGGTATACACTAGGCAGGTCACACACATCACATGTCATAAACTACACAGGTCACACAATACACGGGTCATACACTACACAGGTCACATACTTCACAGATCAAACAGTACAAACGTGGTCACACAGTCCACCTATTGAACGGTACACACGTCATAAACTACACACGAAACACACTTCATATGTCAAATACTACACAGGGCCACAAACAATCCCAAATCAAACAGTACACACATTACACACTACACAGGTCACACAGTCCACCTATTAAACGGTACACACGTCATAAACTACACAGAGCATCAACTACACAGGACACACACTAAATACGTCACACAGTACACAGGTCAAACAGATCACATATTGCACAGGGCCACAAACGGTCACACAGGATACACACTAAACACGTCACACAGTGCACAGGTCACACACTTCACATATCAAAGAGTACACGCGTCAAAAACTACACAGGACTCACACTGCATATTATGGAGGTTATACAGGTTTAGGCGATAAGACATCAGTTTGTCACATATCAATAGTGTGGATCAAACTTTATTATGTAATATAGAAATGAGACTTACTTTCTTGAAATGTGCAAGGACTTTGTCGACAGCACTTTTGTGACTGTCAAAGTCAATACAATCAAGGGTCAGTATTAAAATGTCCTCATCCTTGACACTTCCCCTTACTGAAACAAGTACAATGAAATAAATAAGGAAATGTTCATGATTAAACATCTACTTTCACAAAACCAGGAAATATCAACTTATTGTATCAAATATATCTCGCATTAAAATTACATATTTGTAAGTACACTGCCCTCAGACCTGAGTGCATGTGTCTATTTGCCTATCCTCTACTTAACAGGGGTCTCACGTCTACAGGCCTCTATACAGGCATGTCCTCTATACAGAAATGTTACGTCCCCTGTCCTCAGTACTTGTGTCCTCTTTATAGAGATGTTACGTCTCCTGTCTTTTATATAAAGGTTTAAGTCTTGTGTCCTCTATACAGAGGTGTTACGTCATCTGTTCTCTATACAGGGGTGTTACGTCTTCAGTCCACTATATAGAGGTTTAAGTCTTGTGTCCTCTATACAGAGGTGTTACGTCATCTGTTCTCTATACAGAGGTGTTACGTCATCTGTCCTCTATACAGAGGTGTTACGTCATCTGTTCTCTATACAGAGGTGTTACGTCATCTGTCCTCTATACAGAGGTGTTACGTCATCTGTTCTCTATACAGGGGTGTTACGTCTTCAGTCCACTATATAGAGGTTTAAGTCTTGTTCATTTACAGAGGTGTTACGTCCCCTGACCTTTATACATAGGTTTAATGTCTCCTGTTCTCTATACAGATTTGTAACGTCTTGTGTCCTCAAAGCAGAGGTGTTACGTCTCCTGACCTCTACACAGAGGTTTAATGTTTCCTGTTCTCTATACAGAGGTGTAATGTCTCCTTTTCTCTATACAGATTTGTAACATCTTGTGTCCTCAATACAGAGATGTTACGTCATATGTCCTCTAAACACAGGTGTTACGTCTCCTGACCTCTATACAGAGGTTTAATGTCTCCTGTTCTCTATACAGATTTGTAACGTCTTGTGTCCTCAATACAGAGGTGTAACCTCTTCAGTCATCTATACAGAGGTGTTACGTCATCTGTCCTCTATACAGAGGTCAATGTCTCCTGTTCTCTCCATATATAACTGTACCTCTGTATATCACCCTTTGTGACTGCGATTCAATAACGATATGTGTATATTTAACTCATTAAAATCAATTGATGGCACTACAATCAATAAACGTACACATGCACTCCTTTTTGACTCTCTCCAGCTCCTTTGTCCGTCGTGCCGATAGAACCAGTCGACATCCAGCCCTAGCTAACTCATAGGCTAACTCCTCCCCAATACCGCTCGAAGCTCCAGTAATCCACACGACTTGTCCAGCCAGTGACTCTGGGGGTAAACAATAACATGAATTTCTCATATTTTTATTATAATGTACTCCTCAGTAATGAGCTGTGCTTTAAATGATGAAGCAAAAGTTCAGTTATTTTTATAGATTACGAATTCTTGTGTATATTGCATTATATCTACCTAATGCAATATGCACATCGAGTGAAACGTGAATAGTTCTCTCGAATATCCACTGAAAAATATTTTCTCAAAATAAGGTACGAAATGTAAACTATAGATCTACACTACATCGTTGCATTTTTCAGACAGAAGATTCACTTGCAATTGCTATGTATTTCATGTACTTAGTGTCAATCCATATCACAACTTATCAGCGATTAGATCATGGTTTAAAAAGTCCACTACCAGTGAAAACTATTTCATTCGTAAAAGAAACAGTTAATCACTATAACAGGAAGTAACACAGTTAAATATGAATTTAAAGTAATAAAAAAACCAGACTTACTAACGGACTTTCCAAACTTTGTCTTGATCTGAAGAAGGATGTCTGCATCTCCACGCAATATCATCACCACGGCAAGAAGGTGGAAGAGGACAACCAACCCCACCAGGAGATACAGCAGGTCCATGATCAAGTCCTTCTAAACTGTTCAAAAATGTCCTATTCAGCTGTGTTTTACAAAATATAAATGCCTTAAAATGGTCGTTCATGTTCAGCAATTCGTTCAGTTTAGACGTTCAATTACTGTCCATACTTTCATTTTGTTAATGGTTGGGGAAAGTGCGTGTCAAATCCTTAAATGTCTAATATAACTACTTACAATGACATGTATTTGACAAAATAATGGCATATAATTCATAGTTAAAGCTGTAATTAATTAATTAATGGATTGTGTAGAAATATACGCCAAAAAAAGGCAAATCAAGAGAATATTGAATTGGATTCACTTTTAGAGTAGGTTAGATCTAACAGGTCCATCAGTCAAAAAGAATTAGCATATTGAAAAAGAAAACAAAACACAAGTCTGTATGGCTTGACCCCGATGTCAAAACCACGCTCAACGATCAACACGGTAAGTATGTAGCGGTGTCTGCAGACAAATCATATATAGCTCATTAAGACATTCCTAATTAGAAAAAATATCTAGGTTTTTCCTTGACAACACTACCTATAATTTTTTTTTTTTTTGGAAAACGAAATACTAGCTAATCGCGATTCTGCAGTACATTTTCACCGAATAACAAGTAATGATAAGGATACGGACCTGTCTCGTTCATATCGTATTTCAAAACTTCACAAGAATCCTTATTTACAACGTTTTTCAATGACTCTGCTGGTTGCTCAACCAAGCCATTTTTTCAAATGTCCTATTACCATTCGTAGAATAAATAATCAGTGTAATAATCGTATTGTGACACTGCATACTCTAGAAACGGAATTATAGGGATGTGGATTTTGAAGAAGAACAGCCTCTCCTCAAAACGGAGTCTTCTATCAGAATGTCTGCCTTTTCCACCTTTTCCACTTCCATACATAATGTACCTAAAACCAAACTGAAGGAACGTTTCGTTGTCCAAAACTCTGTTCATAGAAAGGCGAACGACGATATCTTATATATCGATACATGTATTATATAAAGGCATACTGTGTGGGGGTAAAATATAAAGACTGGTATGAATATACTGAGGATGAAATCGTGAGAATGATTGAGTTCCTGGTTGACGATGCCTACTATTCTTTTTACCCTTTCGATGCTTTCACAGGCCATTGTGGGACTCTTCCATCCTTTTTCAGCAATTGCCAAGTTCGTCTGTCTGAAGGCAAGCTTTCAAACGTCAGTGCATTGCAAATAGAACACCAAGAATAATACGGATTACCCTCCGTACCATCAAGTATCTCAATGAAACTTTGGTCATTTCAGACTAAACTGTCCATCATGTCATCAACACAACATCATATGACGGGTGATAGTTCAAGTGTTTTGAACGTATGCCACAATAAGCTCAACACATTTATTAAGGCCTCATGGTGAGCTCTATCATTCATCCACATTCCGGTAATATGGCGTAATGCATGTTTTGAACAATGTATGTACATGCGTTTTATGCTCATCTTTGAGGCACCAATGAACAAGGCGACTTCTGCCTAAACGAGCAGTTTTCATGGAGCGTAAACATTTTGACATAAAAAACTGCGAAAGAATACCTAAGTGTGAAAGAAATCTAATTCGAACTCAAAATCGAGGAAACTAACGCAAAACATTAACAACGGAAAACCTAATATGGCTACCATTGAAAAGAACAAGGAAAATATAACGAAGTATTCCGGGAGAGTAAGCTTCTTGTGCTTTATCGACAACATCTGCCATGTAAACTTTGGACAAATCTAAGTAATGTCACGTCTTCAAATGAGAACTATTGTAGTGACAAGGAAACCACAAGCCAAACTTATAAGCATAACTAAAACCATCTCTTTAATGTCGCAAAAAAAGGAAATAGAATATTTCCCGTTGAGAACATGGTAGCGACCATATAACTTTCCATGTTTTTATCACTCTGCATTTCTTGAAAAATTGTGTTGTAAGAACGTCTGTCTGACGTCGATTTCTAACTCTGAAATCGTGAAGAGCAAGCCCTTGAATCTGGAATCAACTGCGACATGTAAACACGAGGATTCTTGAAATCTGACACAGACGAGACTCGTCCGTGTTTTTATCATTAACTGGTTTTAGGAAAGATTGTAACACAAAAGCAGGATTAGCTAGTATATTTCTAAAATGGGAACATGTACGAAATGAGTCTCCTTGATTACCAAGCAAGTCTAGTTCTTTTTGCAAGCAGCAGATATAAAAGTTAGAGCATGGCTAAGGATGAAATTGGATCATGTGTCCTCGCACAACCACACCCCTAATGTGGTGCACGTGGTTTGGACATCGGAGTCAAGACTTGTGTTTGGTTTTCATTTTGAATTCCGTGCTAGGAATTGTTTTTTGAGTGATGGAAATGAAGAGAAAATTCCAATTCAACGTGCACTCGTTACTGTCCATTCTCTGGCGTAGTCTTCCACAGAACCCGTCAATAATGAAATCCACATTTTAAATGATATTAGGACTCTATCGATACTTTAATTTGGACCCCTCGGGAAAAGTATCTTCACATTATGGACATTACTCTGATAAACGATTCTTTGAATTTATCAGTATAGAAGTAAGAAACTATCTCGCATCTGGTAACAAAACAGACTAAGATCATGTCAAAATTATGACACGTGTAATTACCTTCCTCGAATCCTATTTGTTTCGGAAATCAGTTGAAATATTACCAGTACTTTGGGAAGAGATATCCCAGCTGCGCCAGCTCCTTTTTTCCAGTAGTTTGGAAGTAAATGTTATTTAAAGACAATCAGTCAGTTTGACCTCTTCTACCCTCAGTTCCATTTGAGGGAAAGCTATTTTATTTGTATAACGTTTTAGCTAAGTCTGCCACCGTTACAATTTGGCTGAGACATGCTCAGTAGTTAGGGAGAGGATGTCATTTAAAGCAAATCAGCCCATTTGAAATCTTTTTAACTCATGATACTCATCACTCAATCCCCAGAAAGCAAGCTCCCTTTTTGTTAAAGATTTGATTCCTTCGATGTAACCATGCTGTATTTTAACATGACTATTGTTACTAGTTTTATACCTACGTCTCTCACTTAAATAGCTCTATATATAGAGCTAATGTTTCATCTGTAATTCATTGCGCATGGTCTCTGTATCAGCATTTGGACATGGACTACCAAATAAATTCCTACCTGAGTTTTCGTGGTCCAATTGTGCAACTTCATATAATACAGACAGACAGACATTCTTTATTTCCTCTTTTACAAGAGATTAAAGTCAATCAATACATACATGTAATACAGAACAAAATACATTCCATTTGACATATTGTGTTGAGCCAGATGACATGTATGTTTATACAAAGATACCTTTTCCAAAGAACGGGACACTGTACAATTCATATCAAACAACTTAGGACTAACAACATGTTGTTGTGGTTTCCCAAAAAATACTTTGATTACGTCATTATAACTAAACATTCCATGGTCTACACACACGCAATACACTAGTACACGCATGCATCTTACACACAGGGGAGGCCGTCCTTAAATGAGCATAGCTGTTGATAGGACGTTAAATAATCCTAAACCAAACCAAACCATTACTAGCTTATAGATGCATACAGTATCGTATGTCCACGTGTTTGTTTGTACCTATACAATGTATATACTAACTTCCTGGAAGTACTTACCAGATGTTTAGGGGGTTTAGATCATGCCATTGATACAGTATACACTGAACCATCCAACTGGTGTATGTTTTCAAATGGGTAGGAAATGGAGATAAACCAATAAATATGGGGAATAATTACATGTACACTTTTCATGGAATTTAAGTGAGAAAAAAAATATCCATTTTCCCGAGGTGTCGATCATTTTGTACATCCACCAATAAAGTGATTTCCGCAGCAAGACGGTTACATGCGGTTAATACTTCGATAGAGTTCAACCCTTCTTGCACAAGCCATTATAACAAGTTATATGTACATGTACATCCCATCATAAGAGGAACAATCCCTCATTTGGATAATAGATACTGTAAACAGCAACATTTTAAATTCTGAAATGGGAATCAAAGTGAACTACATGTAAATACACATTCTGTTCTTTCGAACAGTAAGAACAAAAAGACTATCGGAATCCCTCATATAAATGTTTGTGCCAAACGTGTTAGAAAGCCTAATGATTCACTCTACTGTATAATGTCTATCTCTTCATCTCGGGATTGAAGTTTAACCGAGTATTGATATGACATCGTCTGATAATATTAAAGTTCCATATAAAGTGCAGAAAAGCTGTTCTCAGGCCTGTGTGAGCACGCCCCCGCTTTAGGAGATTGCCACACCAGTACAATACATGATGAGTGCATATATAGTAATGTGATAATTGAAATAAGAAATGTGCTACAGGTTAGCAAACAATGATATTCTTACCGGGGCTAAATATGAATCTTACCGACTTATAATTAAATACCACCAATCTTCTTCAGTGAAAAGTGAAAGTAGGAATGGGAAGGCCTACATTCGTGATTTATTTTAATCTCATAATTTTAACAAATTAAACTTTATAGTTAAATGAGGAATTATTCAAAATAGACCCGAGTATGTCTTTCAGTCAATAGTTTAAGGCAATAAATTAAAAAAGATCAAACAGGCTACAGTATACTTGAAATATTTCATAATATCACTAGTAGAACATTTTTATCCGAAGTTTAGTCAACCCAATGTATGATACTTTCGGAACCCTCGGGACTTTTCATGACTTGGTAGGTTGGAAAAGTCATTTCCCAATTTCAGTATTCACAGTCACGGGTTTACATATTCGTGATCCAAAGGTAAGCCAACCTTGAATTATTGACTGATTTACTGTCATTAAAGCAAATTTAGTGAGTGTGAAATAAACTGAATAAGTTAAAGACAATTTAAGGTACTTAAATCTCTGACGTAACCCTAATCTGAGACCGAGTAAGTAATTACGTCCTGTTGTAAATAACGTTACACTTTACTCTTTAGAAAATGGAAGAACAGTTCGAGCAAGCTTCATATGACACATGTGCCCACTTTGAGCGAGTTTGAGTTTCAATGAACTTTTGGTGGTATCACGTTTAACTTTCTGAGGGTACCAAAGAGACTCAACACATGATACAAACTCATGACAAGTCGGCCAACTTGGGCGCGTCTAATTACCCAATACTACCCAATACTACCCCATACGATCCAGTTATGAACCAAATACTTCTTTATTACTGTGAAATACCACCTTTGTAGATGTTATTTACTTCCATCTGCCATATTTTATCGGGAAATATGCGATTTGGTGCCAAAAAACATCACCGAATTGCCGTGACTATGACCCAATAGTACCCCATACCACGGAATTAGATTAGGGGTACATTCGCGTTACCGGTTGAAACAGTTGAACCGGTTGAACCTGTAAAGAAAACGACAGGTACAGATCTGGACCGAGACTGACCTCAGGAAAATTTGGCACGTTTAGATTGAGGGGTCCAGACGTGCCTAACCGAAACTAAAATGCTGACTATTGCCAATTTGCGTTATTTCTTTCTAAAACAATGTCAAGTCACATGTAGTTTTTAAGTTACGTTATGTAATTCAGTGGACGGCTGAAAGAAGGTCATAATATTCTTTAAACACTGTTTTTTATTCTCCGAAACTGTGGATTTGTAGCTCTGCTTATAGAACGGTCCAAGTGTGTTTGTTTATCGTGGAAAATTTCTGCGCCACACGTACCGTTTCAACCGGGATACGCGAATGTAGCCTAGATCTAAGTCCGTGCCCATACCACCCAATACTACCCAATACCACCCAATACTACCCCATACGACCAAGTTATGAACCAAATACTTCTTTTTTACTGTGAAATGTCACAGTTATTTACTTCTATATGTCACATTCTATCTGGAAATATGCGATTTGGTGCAGAAAACATCACCGAAATGCCGTGACTAGGGGTTCGACGATTTACAGGAATGGGCAGAAATCTATTAATTTTTATATAGGCCTATACATTAATGAATATATATATTAGATCAGAGACGTATATAACACAGTTATGGCTTTATACGTCTCTGATTAGATACATTAAAGTATCATTATCGGGTATAAGATATATTTGATAAAATGATTGCAATTACATGATCG